GTTTCCATTGCACTTTAAAAGTAGACATCAACAATTTGTCAAGTCTAAATAAATTGAACACTTGCCATTGCCAGGAAATTTCATAAATACTTACATGCATACACCTTCATTGCTTTTTTTTTTGTGTGTGTTGTATTTCGATGTTGTTTTATTTTTTATTCGGACTAGTTCATGGTTGTTTTTATATTATCAACAAAAATGTCGCGTTGCGATAGTCAGGAATTGTTATGTTTTAAGCTGGGAAAAAGTCGGGAATTTTGTTTCACTATAGTACGTTCAAAAAGAGATTTGACGAAGATTTTAGCGTGTGATCTGAAACCAAAGATTCGACCAATTTTTCGTTCGACCCAATTTCCGTCGGTCAATTTTCCGTCGACGAAATTTCTTTCAATAACATTTCTGCTAACCTGAATGTATATAATTAATAATTTAAAAAATCCGTTCCAAACAATTTATCGTTATTATTTTTTTTTTTGGGGTGTAAAATGACGAACAATCTATTAGTAGTATGATAGTGTAATAATTATCAAATTTGGATTTAATTTAAAACTAGAGTAGGTTTGTCAAAATTGTGCAACTACAAAAAAAAAAAAAAGAGCAAAAATACGGATAGAGTATCGGGACAGGTTATTTATTCTACAAATGACATTGGAAATAAGAATTGTTTTAATCATGTTTATAGGTTTGTCAAAAATGTGAAAATAAAAAAAAAAAAAAAAAGAGCAAAAATACGGATAGAGTATCGGGACAGGTTATTTATTCTACAAATGACATTGGAAATAAGAATTGTTTTAATCATGTTTAACTACTTTAAAGGAAATCACGTGACCGTGTTTAACCTGTAGCACGTACGCCGTCTTACACACAGAACCAATGGGAGATGTGAGGGCTAACATAAAGGTCTAGAAATTACTGTGGTACTGTCGTCCATGTAAGGTGTCTATGTAGGATGCACCCATAGCAGGGCAGGTACTACAATGGTGTAAGGCAGGCCTGCACAACTCAAAAATGTAAGGCGGGCCGTAATAATTTATGAAAAACTTGTGCGGGCCAGACGAAAATAGGACAGGGGGGAAAGCTATTAAGAAAATAATAAGAATAAAGAATATTTCGTTACTTCACGGGCCGCAAAGTGGGTGCTGGCGGGCCGCATGTGGCCCGCGGGCCGTATGTTGCACAGGCTTGGTGTAAGGTATAACCACAGTTACTAAGAGGTCTATTCGCTGGTTGTATATACTGTTGTATCAATAGCTTATATTACGTATAAGCACGTTGCAGTATGTGTAACCGGAACGACATAACGCCTGCGTGTTATGCTCACATACACTGGTATCTAATTCCATATCAGAATTCAGTGACCGGCTATAATGTGCATGTTAAAATGTGTATGGTTAGCTGCATGAATTTAGGGTTACCAAACGTCCTTATTTAGTACAATATCATTGATACCCGAGCCCTGACCCCGAGGTCACAGTCCTATTTGGGCGAGGGCAAATTTCCATACAGTGTTTTGGGCGCTACACACTATTCTCGTAAAACCGTGGTCTCCACACTGCCACAATTTAAAATACTAAATAATGAACATTTGGTATCGTTTTGATTTACTCCTCCCCCGAACCCCTCCCCCCCCCCCCCCCC